CTTCTGATCATGTTTCTGGTAACAAATCACTTCTGTCAGATATTGTTTATTCACAATCTCTTCCTGCTATTACTTTGGCCAATGGGATACGAACAAAACCAAAAGGGGTTGGAAAAGCCAAACCCGTATCTTCTGTCACCCTAGACTCTGTTCTTTATGTCCCTGGTTCTCCTTTTAATCTAGCATTTGTTAGTCATTTGCCGAAAGCCCTACATTGTAGCATGACTTTTTTCGATGATTTTTTTCTCATGCAAGACCGCAGTACGGGACAGATGATTGGAACAGGACATGAATCACAAGGCCTTTACTATCTTACCTCTTCAAATTCCTTAACAGCATGCTCCGTTACAGATTCCCCATATCTAATTCACAAACGCTTGGGACATCCGAGTCTATCCAGTTGTAGTGCCACCACTACTAACTTATCATCGCCGTCCACGTCCAACCCTAGTCCCAGATGATTCATGTCATGCGCCGGACCCTGCTCCTACTGCGGATTTGCATCCTCCTAGCCAACCGCTTGCACTTCAAAAAGTTATACGATCTACTCGAAATACTAACCCACATTATACCTTCTTAAGTTATCATCGTCTATCATCACCCCATTATGCCTTTGTGTCGTCTTTGTCCTCTATTTCCATTCCTAAGACTACAGGTGAAGCACTTTCTCATTCTGGATGGAGGCAGGCTATGGTTGATGAGATGTCTGCTTTACATAAGAGTGGTACTTGGGAGCTCGCCTTGTTGCCAAAGGGTATACTCAGCTATTTGGGCTAGATTATAGTGACACTTTTGCTCCTGTGGCTAAAATAGCATTTGTTCGTCTTTTTCTATCTATGGTTGTCGTTCATCATTAGCCTCTTCATCAGTTGGACATTAAGAATGCTTTTCTGCATGGTGATCTTGAGGAAGAAGTCTATATGGAGCAACCACCTGTATTTTTGTTGCTAAGGGGGAGTCTAGTAGCCTTGTATGTCGATTGCGTAGGTCACTCTATGGTCTGAAACAGTCTCCTCGAGCTTGGTTTAGGAAGTTCAGCACAGCAATTCAGGAGTTTGGCATGACTCATAGTGGAGCTGATCACTCTGTGTTTTATCGGCATTCTGCACTAAGTCGGTGTGTCTGTTTGGTTGTTTACGTTGATGATATTGTTATCACCGGTAATGATCAAAATGGTATCACCAATTTGAAGCAACATCTCTTTAAGCACTTCCAGACTAAAGACCTTGGCAGATTGAAGTATTTTCTAGGTATTGAGGTTGCTCAGTCTAGATCAGGTATTGTTATTTCTCAACGCAAGTATGCCTTAGACACTCTTGAGGAGACAGGAATGATGGGGATGTAGACCTATTGACACTCCTATGGATCCGAATGTTAAACTCCTTCCAGGACAGGGGGAGCCACTTAGTAATCCTGAAAGGTATAGACGGCTTGTTGGAAAGTTGAATTATCTCATAGTGACTAGACCTGACATCTCTTTTCCTGTGAGTGTTGTGAGTGTTGTGAGTGTTGTAAGTCAGTTTATGACTTCCCCTTGTGATAGTCATTGGGAAGCAATTGTTCGTATTTTGCGATATGTACAGTCAGCTCCCGGTAAAGGACAACTCTTTGAGGATCAAGGCCATGAGCATATCATTGGATATACAGACACTGATTGGGCAGGATCACCCTCTGAAAGACGTTCGACATCCAGATATTGTGTTTTAGTAGGAGGTAATTTGGTGTCGTGGAAGAGTAAGAAACAGAATGTGGTTGCTCGATCTAGTGCAGAATCAGAATATCGAGTAATGGCGATAGCAACTTGTGAGCTAGTTTGGATCAAATAGTTGCTGGGAGAACTAAAATTTGGCATAATTGATCAGATGGAACTTGTGTGTGATAATCAAGCGGCTCTTCATATCGCATCAAATCAGTGTTTCAGGAAAGGACTAAGCACATTGAGATTGACTGTCACTTTGTCAGATAAAAGATACTCTCGGGAGATATTGTTACGAAATTTGTGAAGTCAAATGATCAGCTTGCAGATATCCTCACCAAGTCCCTCACATGTCCTAAGTATTAATTACATACGTAACAAGCTAGGTACATATGATTTGTATGCACCAGCTTGAGGGGGAGTGTTAGAATAGAAATAAGTATTTCCTACTTAGAATAGGAATAGGAATAAGAATAGGAATCCTAGTTGGAAAAGGATTCCAATGTAATGTCTATAAATAGGGTCTCAATGTAACAATTTAGATACATAATTCAACAATACTTTTCTCATATATTTCTCACAATCCTGATGGAATTTTCAACTTTCCTAGAACTCCAACTTGTATAATCCGGCTCTTTTAGGGCCACTATATTACTTGCGCGACCACGTACACTTGCGTGTACATTTGGAAGCAACAATTGGCCAAGAACATACAAGAAAATTACAACTCATATGCTTAACCGGTGAAAGAACTTTTTAACAAATATAAAATCTAATCAGTCTTTAACTAGAGAATCTATGATTATCCAGTTTTCAGTACTCATAACTATTATGATAATTAATAGGCATTTTATTTGTTCATTGTATCTTCTCTATCAACCTATTAAACAACAAGATATCCAAGATAAAGAACAACATTGAAGACAATGTTCTCAATAAAATGATTCCAAGCCATAGTGTACCCTCCCTTGACTATCAATAACTTTAGCATTTGCCAAAAAGGAAAAATATGTTTTACATTTATCCCCATGCTTTACAGGCTTGTAAAAGCAGGCAGCTCGTATGATAATGAAAAGGGTCACGTTCATAACATTGTCACAATTACAACATAGCACTAGAAAGCATAAGCATGGCACAATTGTATGAATGCAGGTACCAACCGAGGCCTCCAGTCCCAGAAGCTTCAACATCTATAAATGCTCCAATCGTCTCATTCCATCTATGCGTAGTTATGAAACCGTGCGAACCCTGAGAAAATCATCAGAAAACTCTTTATTTTAACTTGCTTGATTTATTTAATCATCTACTATTCTACATAAAGCATTCTGAACATCAACAATGACAATTGAGATAACTACAATTCCTTGAGCTCATGGAAGAGATTCACAAAGCTTTAGATATCAAAATTCAAAGAAGCCATGAGACATTATTAAAGACAAAATGTATTTCTATGGATGCTCGAATGCATTTGATTGTCACAATTGAACTACATCCGAGATTGTAAACCAGATACAATTGATAAGAAAAGATATGCAAATAAAATCACAGTAATCAAGGAACAGAAGGAAAAACTAAGAAACCGAAGGAGGCAGAACCTTATTTGTTCACTGATTTCTAAAACTGTTGATCATGAGACATTAAAGATAACTAGAGAGCCTACCACAAGCAGTATAAACCATATCTAGAGGTAAAGATAGGGTAGTAGAAGATCTTAAGAGCCCCCTTTATCAATCACCAGAGAGAGATACTTCCTCAATCTAAATGACTCTCAGAATCGACAAAAGTATCTATCCTCTACATCATGACACCATCATAATTTAGTACCTTGTCCATATAAATATAAGGAAAATCTTGCACTGGTATGTAAGATTTTAAAGTATGAAATGAAGAGTACCAAAAATCATTCAAGATATTTCAGAAAACTATTTGAGAAAACAAATGTGTTTCTGACAATGTATAGTCATAATGTTTTTCATTATTAGACTAAGGAGCATAGAGGGCAGAGATAGAAGACTACAATTTTCAGGAAAGATGAAATACTGCCGAACCGCATAATTTTCTAAGAAACATGCACTGGGAAAATGGGAAGTCATGGGAAAGTGGCACCTACTTCCTAGAACTCTAAGGGGTCGTTTGGTAGGCCGCATTAGAAGAAATAATTCATGTATTAGGTAAGGTATTATTTAGTACTATGTTTGGTAGGAATTTGTGCCTATGTATAACTAATCCATGAATTAGTTATACCTCCTACATGGTATTATAGGATGTATTACTAATACCTTCCATTTGGAGGTATTAGTAATAAAGAAAAAAATATCCCTCAAATCATTTTAATTATTTTCTTGATTTTATGATTTATATTTGTACTAGTAAATTTATTTAAATAAATTAGCTGAAAAATTATTTAGAGAGAGTAGTTTGTTACTAAATAAATCCAATACAAATTTGAAATGTGAGTTGTTTATTTGTATATGACGTTTGTGATCTTAATTGAATGTATTTTATATATATATATTTGTGGTTTTCTAATTATTTATATTTTTAAGAATTTAAAAAATACATACATATTAAAACTACAACTTGCAATTTTTATGTTTAAATGTAGATGGTTTATTCAATTTTACCATTGTTGACCATCTTTTCGATTTTAAAAGTAGATGGTTTATCTTTTTATAATTGAAAAATGACATTTTGTGAGTGATCAATTTATTAAGATGACAATTATTATCCTAATAGCAAACATGATAACAAAATTGTTCTTCTCATAGCTAGTTAGAAGGCCATAAAAAATAATATTGTCCGGCAATAATCTACCTTGACCCAATTACCTAATAATTCAAAGGTATAATTGGAAAGAAGAGTTTTAATCCAAACACAAAATGAGGTGGGAAATAATGAACCAAACACTTGATAAAAATAAACCTTGCATTACTAATCACTACACTACTAATCCCTGCATTACTAATCCCTGCATTACTAATCCCTGCATTACTAATCCCTGCATTACTAATCCCTGCGTTACTGATCTTTGCATTATTAATCTTTGTACCAAACGACCCCTAGTAGAGTGTATTAGGAAAAATAATGCATGCATTAGTCTTGTGTATTACTAGTACCTTGTTTGGTACTCTTTTTCAATCTATGTATAACTAATGATACACTCTATTGTGTATTAAATTGTGTATTACTAATACCATGGATTTCTAGGTATTAGCAATGCAATGGTTTTAATGCATGCATTAACATCATTAAAGACCCAATTGCCCCTCAAACCCTTTTTTACATCTTTTCTGCCACTATAGTGGAGGGCACCTTTGTAAATAAATTTTTTTATGCAATGCATACTATTTTTAATGCATCAAACCGAACAATGCATAAAAATAATCTATGTATAATTAATGCAAGCATAACTAATACATGCATTGTTAAAGCAAACATTACTAATACACTCTATTTAGTATTATTTTTATACACTCTACCAAACAACCCGTAATACACAAGCATAGTTCATGATTCTTTAAGTCCATTATTCTTGATAGAAAATCAGAGAACATATTAAAGCCCAAAATCAAGCGGCATACATGAGAAAATCCAAACTCTAACCATTTAAAAAGAAATATCAGAGTACAGGGTCAAATAAATTGTTGTTGGTCCCACATAAGGATCTTCTTACCAGCATAAACAGTTCTTCAGCTCCATTAAATAGAAATATTACTGGTCTAGGTGGAATCCAGCCGGAATCAACAGAGAGTCTGGCTAGCTCGAGTATCGATGCTGTTTGAGTCATAGTGCAATCAAGATAGATATAACCAACTGTTCCTCAAAAAGATAGATATAACCAACTACGACATCAGCTGGAAAGCAGATCAAATACAAGATATACATACCAACACAAGAACCACAATCACCAGCTCCTGGAGAACCAGGTGGAGTATCGAAATGGCCATTTATCAAAACTGCAGAATCATTTTCTCCTGAATCCACTGATGAGATTCTGAAATTAATTGTGTTACTTTCAGTTTCATTAAACAAAATTAAGGTGTTGCATATTTGAATGAAAAACTTAAAAAAATGCTTTCCGTAGGTATATGAGGTTACAAATCAAACATCAATAACAATTTTTCAGGTAATTCCCAAACTTCTTCAAATTTTTCATAATTTAAGAAAGTGTAAGGAACATTTTCCAAAGGCAAAAGATCCATGACTCCTACAAATGAGCTCCACCAAAAAGAAATTCCTTTAATTGATGAAATGAGGAATAGAATTCAGGTAATAACACTGCTTTATCTTTATGCTTTAAGAAAAAAGAGAGATAATAAGAAAAACAAAAAACTGAAGTGTTGGGGGATGATGAAATGTATAGATATATGACCAAACGTTAGATTCAAGCTGGTATACCTCATAATAATATTTGTATGATTTCTATAAGCCAGAGAGATGCTATGCCGTAAAAAGAACATATTGAATGAGCCATTAACAATGGTCTCTTCTATCTCTATTCTGCAAGAATAAGAATCTCTAATTGTTAATGCAGCAATTGAGATTAAGAATTACCTGAAGATAAAACAAGTTAAACAAAGTTTTAAATAAGACCAACCTAATACCAGGTTGAGCTCGCTCCTTCATCAGTTCCAACTGTGTCATAATATATTGCGCCGCTAGTCTCAGACCTTGACGCCCTTGCTGTACACAAAAATATTTAGCTGCACATATTATATCTTAAAAAGAGAGAGTAAAGGATAACCCAACTCTTTGCAATACTATCAACAGCATGAGATTTTCTTTGGGGCAAAAACTGTGGTTTGAGGGTTGTTGGCAAAGAAATTCGCATGAAATGTGAAATGGAATTGAGAGAGTCCTTACCTGGCGACCTCCGATATCCTTTGATAAGACGCGGACATGCTCAATAGCTCTGGCCTCAGAGAAGCGATCAGGAGGAGCATCCATGGGAAGAGGTGTGATGAACTTCATGTGAATGATGGAGTATACAAGGACCGATATCAATCCGTACAAAATCCCCAGACTAAACAGAATTTTGAATCCGGCTATATCACCCGAGTTCAGTCTCCACGCCATTACTCTTCTTCTCTATTTCTCACTTCACTGAACAAACAAAATATTCGAATCAGGTGTCCACAGCAAAGAGTCTATGCAATCAATTCGGCTCCTTCCCCTTTGCAACTTACTTCGGCCCATCACCTTTGGGCCTATCAGCCGAAATGCCCTACACATTCTTGTACCTGCTTCTTTTCTTCTTCTTTTTTATAGATAAGTGAAAATTACCTAAATACATATCTTATTTTAGCATAATATTTAAAAAATATTACTATCTCAAAAAAAAATTAAAAAATCCCCTCTAAGATATATCACTCTCCTCTCGCTGATACATCGCTATCCCCTCTCGAATACATCTCTCCTCTCTCTCATACATCCCTCTCCTCTCAGATACAACACTCACCTATGTATCTGGATGTCAGCTGATGTATTCGGAAGTTCAGTGATGTATTTGGATGTGTTATGTCATCTCTGATATATCCCTCTCATCTCGGATACATCCATCACATATGTATCCAGATGTCTGCTAATGTATTTAGAATTACAGATGAGACATTGCAATGGCACAATTTTTTTTAAGTCATCACAATTGCGGAATGAGACATTGCAATTGCAACATTTAAAAATTTAACGGAAAAGGGTCAAAAATACCCCTGAACTATTGGAAATGGATCAAATATACCCTCCGTTTGATTTTGGGGTCAAAATACCTTACCGTTAGTGTATTGGCTCACTTTTACCCCTCAAAACTAACAAATACCATGTCACCTAAAAAATCACATAAAACAATTTTTTTTTGCTGACTTGGAAATTCAAATGGACAAAAAAAATCCTTCCATTGACGTTCTCCTAACTGAAGAAACTGAAAAGTGATTAAAGTTTGTATTTTTTTTTAATAAAGAATTGTGAAATAAAGATTTGGTATCAAAATGCTGTGTTAATTTCGCTGTAATTTTGTCATTTTGGGACTTTTATTGAGCCAAGGGTGTATTACACCCACCCCACTTGTGGATTGTTGCTGCCATGTTGGGAGTTTTGTCCATTTGAATTTCCAAGTCAGCAAAAAAAATATGATTTTATGTGATTTTTTAAGTGACATGGCATATGTTAGTTTTGAGGGGTAAAAGTGAGCCAATACACTAACGATAAGGGTATTTTTGACCCCAAAATCAAACGAAGGGTATATTTGATCCATTTCCAATAGTTCAGGGGTATTTTTTATCCTTTTCCGAAAATTTAACTTATCGCGGTCTTGGGATTAGACATCTCAATTGCAGAGAATATATAAAATTAACTTTGGCATTTCATCGAACAGTTTGGGAGCAACCCGTTCTCAAGCCATTTTCACACAAATGGAAACACCTATTTTCCCCATTTTTAAACTCCAATCAACAACAACAATCAAAAATACAATTTGCAAAACTTAAAATTTCAACATCATTCATGATCAAAATTGATGGGTGAAAATCAACCCATTTCAACAACTTACCAACCTCAAGAATCAACCAAAGAGAAGGGAAACAATACATACCTTGAGGTAAGAACAAACCTGATGAGGAATTTATGATATAAGCGATCAAAGCAATTTTATTTTTAGAAGGGGGAGAATTGGGGATTGCTTTGGGATATTTTGAGACACTGAAATGAATTTAAAAGGCTTCTTTCTATTTAATTCACGCGAATCATCGTGGTCCCGACCCGCTCCTCGCGATTGCGACTGTCAACTTAAATTACCTTTCATGAGTGCAACTTGTGGCTTAACGATCACGACACTCGATATTTTATGCATCGTGATCGTGATCATCGACTCTCATGACCACGATGAAGGATTTGCTACTAGAAGTGATGAGCTTACTATCATTTTCGGCAAGTTCAGGATGTATTGGGCGTTTAAGTGCCCAATAAGTGCTCCAACTCCCATTTTGAAGGTGTTTCAACCCCAAATTTCAATCCCAATAAAGTTTTTGCTTCCTAACTTGCCTAAACAATCACCACAAACTTTGATATCATGAAGGTTAGTCAAAAATAAATTCTAAATCTAATCTAAAAATCTAAAATCTCAAATTTTAACTATGAATCAAAAAATTTGGAAACCAATGGGTTGCCTCCTATCAAGCTCACAATTTAATATCACGGCACGACGCCGGTTGCATCAACCTTTGTGTTTCTATTTCGAGGCGATGAATCTTCTCCCCAACATCAAATCAATTTTTCATTGAAATGCATGGGGACAATATGAGAGCATAAAGAGACTCACTTGATCTCTCCACTTTGAAGATTTAAATTTCTTACCCAACTTTAGGTCGATTTTTGGTTAAGGGTCATTGGCAAGAGGAGGAGTATCACTAGGCCATTCGACACTGAACTTCATAACCTTTTTCCTTCAAGTGATTAAAACTCTAACTTCTAAATGAGCTAAAGTTGCCATAAATAACATTTCTCGCTTTTTCTTGTAACTTTAGTAGCATTTCTTTGATTTTGACATCTTCGAATTTTATTGGCTTGATTCGGTAGCAAAGACCAAAATTTTCATCAATGTATATCACAATCCCTTTTTCTCGACACTCCAACTCTACTTCACTTTTATTGACCATTTGACAAGGAGGATCATATACCCACATTCTTTCCGGACATTGACCTCCAAAAATTCAATTTCACACGCAAGTTTGATTCTCTCATAACATCGAATTAGGTGCAAATTGCGGAGCTCATCCCTCATAAAAGGACATTAGATGTTGTAGCCTCTCACCACGTTCAAGCTTTAGGGCCAAACACATGAGCCAAGTTTGCCTCACCACGCCCATTTCTTCACACATCTTTTCATCGAGAGAACCTCTACATAACTTTCACCAACATGAAGTCCTCTACAACAAGGTCATGATTCATCAAGAGATGGCTTACAACTCCTAAACATTTATTTAACACAAGAATCCATAGAAAGAAGATTAAATAAAGTAAAAATAAATATTCACAATTTAGATAGAAACAAATAAACTATAAATCATAAATCAATTCAGTACGCCTAATTGTTCCCCAACAACAACGATATTATTGATAATGCTAGAATTACTTGCAAAATGATTAAACAAGTAAGCGGTCATTAGCAATCTAATAACCCAATGTATGAGGTGAATCACATAAGGAAAAATATATCAACAATTAAAAAGATAAAGAATGACAAGCTACTAGCTTGAATCTAAACGAATAATAGAAAATTTTAACAAGAAGGTGATTTTAGTAACAACTAAAGATGGGGGTAAAGATCTTTTCAAGCAAGGGATTAAAGGAAATTAGGAAATGGGAAATCAGTTGAATTTCAAAAGATCCATTGCAACTTAGTATTATGTGGATTCATTTATCAATAAGTAGGCTAGATTCATCTCAAGCACAAAAATGCATTTCTCAATCACACATTTGTTCATCATAGAGGTTCCTCTCGGATACTCTCATGAATCATACAAAGCAACCTAATACCTTAATATAGATTTTTTCTCAAGAAAATATAACATTCAACAATGAAACTCTAAATCCCTTTCTCAAGCAAACTTAGGAAGCAAATCTAATATGCAATTATTAATTCCATCACCTACTTCATCAATTCTTTCTCAGGCAATCTATGAAGATCTAAGCTAGACTAGAGTGTGCACTCTCAAATCATGGATAAAAACATGATAATTCAATTGTACCCATATAATAAATAAAAAGCAATCAATCAATTACAAAAGCAATAGAGTGAAAATTAACAACTCAATAGATTTGTCTATCCCTAGCACAAAACCTCAATTCCAAATAATCAATTACCACTACAACAAAACTTCCCAAGAGCGAAGGGAAAACTGGTCGCAATAAGTACGAATCTGGTCCCAAAAGGTGCAATTGCGACCAGGTACACTGGTCCTTATAGACTTAGTCGCTAAAGACCTCTAGGGACGAGATTATCGGGTAGGTCGCTAATTCTTTTTCGCGACTAGTATAATAGTGGTCCCTAAAATACATTTAAGGACCATATGTCTGGTACCTATTCGCACTTATTGAAATTGAAATTATGGTCGTTAAATCATTTTGCGACTAGTTTCTAACTGGTCCTTATATCATTTTGGGATGACTTCTAAGCTGGTCCATAATAATTTTGCGACCAATTTGAAGCTAGTCTGTAAATCAGGTTGAGACCAGTTTGTAGCTGGTCTGTAAATCAATTTATGAGAATTTTAAGCTGGTTCCAATATCATTTTGGGACCATTTTGAAGGTGGTCAATAAATCATTTCACAACCATTACAGATTTCCTACTCAAAAGGATTTTAAGGACTAACAATCTAGTCCTTAAATCACATTGCATTTGCTATACAACCTGTCACTTTCATTTATAATATATAATGTAATTACAAAATAAGGTGAGCATAAGTCATCACACTATACAATAATGAGGTAAGCTAGTAACAATATTGTGATCATGAACCCTTAGCAAAAAATCATATACTATCCTTAAACTATAATCCAAAAGTTGCCTTCACCTTCCCAGTAAAAAATGGTCAATCTACATGTTTTAACATTACCTTTTTGCAAATTTCAGCATCCAAAATCTAGTGAAAAGAAATAAAACTTTCATTTAGAAGACCTATATATAAAAATAAACAGAAAGAAGTGTGATTAAATCAAATAACAATTTCTAAATAAACTGAAGGAGTATTACTCTATTGCATAAAATATGTGCATGTCATTTTGTTAACTAAATCAATCCAAACTCTAGTCATTTTCAGTAAATACTTGATTGGGGACAACCTTTCTGGACAACATCTCTTAAAAACCAGAGTGCTTCCCTAAATCTATTGCAGTGCATAGAGCCAGCAATCATAGCAGTCCAAGAAATGAGATTCTTGTAAGGCATGTCTTCAAAAACTTTCAAGGCATCATCCTAAAATCCACATTTAGCATACATATCAACAAGAACACTACCAATGTAAACATCCCTAGAAACCCTCCCTGGCTTGACATAGAAACCATGAAGATACTTCCCAAACCAAACACATCTTAACGTTCCAGCAGGAGAAAGAGCTGCTACAAGAACCACTTCATCTACCTTAACTTGTGCTCGTCTCATCTCCAGGAAAAGTTTCAAAGCTCTAATTGGCAGAGCGTTCCGGGCATACCCATCAATCAAAGCAGTATAAGAAAGCACATCCTTATGCGTAATATCATCAAACACTTGGCGTGCAAGGTGAACATACCCACTGCTAGCAAAACTAGAAACCAAAGAATTTTGCACAAATTGGTCAGAAATGTATACAAACTTAAATATTTGTGGAAAAATGAGATGTGGGTTTTCATTGTTGGCTCTAAGAAGCAAAGGAAGAGTATGTTTATTAGGAAAAACCCCATGTTGGCGCATTTGAATGTAGAAAGTATCTATCTACAGCAGCTGTAAAACTAATTGGTGCAACAGTTAAGATTTTTGTGGCCGTTTTATGTGGAAAATTATTGTACACAATATGGTGGTAGCAGCTGCAACACTAACTACTGCAAAAGTTGGAACTTATAATGCCTCATATGGTCACTTAAATTATAAAAAACTTTTATCTCAAAAAGGACATGGATCTAAAAGAGGATCAATGAATAGTAGGGTATCAGAAACAAAATTGGGTTCAATCTAATGGTTGACTCATTGAGATTAACCAAATAGCTTAGAAAATACTCATCAAATTGATAAGTAAAAATCGAGAGCTAAAATGGCTGCAAAAAGTATTCTCTTTTTCAAAGAATAATGAAACTGATGGTCCAAAAGATCTTGCTGCAACTATACCTCTCTACTACATACATAACTCCATTTCAAACCAACTTGCAAAATTTAAAATGTATCAAAGAATCACTCGAATTCGATCAGAAGAACTGTTCATTACTACTTAATTAAAACACCACTGTAAGTCTGAGAGAAGTAATTTTGGAACTACAAATGAATTCAATCATTGTCTTTCGAAAACAATCTCTATGATCTCCCTTCACAAAGTATAGAAATAAGGTCCAAGTACATTGACCTCACTTGTGTAATTACACTTATTATATTATTATTGTTGTTACAAGTTAATTTAGTAATCCCCAACTCAAAAAGTAGAAAACGATGGCCAAACATTTATTAGCACAAAAAGAAACAAAAATAAAAGAGAGTCCTGACTATCAAGACCACCAAGCTTAGTGACAGCATCAACAAATTGTTGACGTAATTCAGCAGTCCACATCAATCTTGGCTTTGGGTCTCTTGTCATCACCACCCCATCGCTCTCATACAAATAACTTCCCCCTCTTCCTACCCCATCAATTGCATTATACATACTATTCCTACAAACACTGAATTCAGTCGATGACTACTAACTAAAGTCATCATATGAGGCAGTCGATGACTACACACGTTAGAAATATATTGTCATAAAATAGCCTGAGTTTCCAATCAGCTTAATGTTGCTATGACGATTGTCCAGTAAAACATCAAGAAGTACTTATACTGTGATGAGTAAACTGTAATCGCAAACTAAAATTTACAATGAACAAAACATAGTCAAAAAGTTAAAGTTGAGAGAGGAAGAAGAGCTTATATGTTCTAAATGAGTTTGTTATCCTCACTTGAAAATCCTTAAATAGTCAAAAGTGCCTTGTTCTCTGTAAAATTTTATCAGGAGTTAGTGTGCTGAAAAAATATAGCATTACATTGTACATGTTCTAAGCAACAGGGAAAGTCTAAATGTATTCACGAAACGAGGAATTACTATAGATACACCACTGTACAAAGCCAAATACATGACTATGACTTTGAGGTCCAAAGCATTTCTCAACAATTTCTATGCTAGAAAGTGATGGTTCAGACTCCACCAATTCTTGAATTTGAGCCTACAAAGTGTATAGAGGAGATTTTTTTTTCCAGATCCCAGAATAAGTAAATGTTAAGAACATGTTCAATTAACCAAACGCACATGCTTCTCGATTGTTTCACAATCAATAAGTGTGTTATTCTTCTTGTGAGTCTCGTAAAAGATAGTTGCCAAATCTGATGGATTGCCATCTTTTCCGCCCTTTACATAAAAGTAAACATGTCAAAGAACGGTTCATCAATATTAAGACAGAAAAAGATTTGATGATAACACCTTTTAATAAATAATCTCTCTAATTGGCTTGCTACTAATATGATGAAGCATCTTCAACTTAGCTCTATTTATTGTGTTTCTATTGCTTCTTACCTATATTTGAGTAAACTCATCAGCAACTTCTCCAACAATTTTTTTTATCAAACTACATGCCGATCCAAGCAATTTCAGTAAGTATCTAGAATCTAATTGAAATCAAGAACCACAAAACAACAATGACAAACAACCACGAATTTTCAAGTAGCTTAAGACTTCAAAAATGCACCACAAGTAGTAACTTTAGAGATCAATATGCAGCCATAGTTGTAGTAAGAAAAGAACAATTCAAAACAACATTTTGAAATAGACAAAAAAAAGGTAACTACTATGAAGTATATTATATGAAACACATACTTTTGAAGTTCTTGTGATAACTTAACTTTAATCCAATAAAGAATACACTAAATTGATCAAAAGTAAGTAGAAATAGAATTCACTCAAACTAAATTTTACTAACTTCAGCCAATAGAGTATTGAGAGAAAACAATTTCTCTCATAGTAATTAATAATACTACTACTTCTCAACAACTCTCTTAAAGTGCATTTTTCTCAACGATTCTGGACTCAACTATTGAACTCATGAAAGCTGTATAGATCAAAAAACAACTTGATATTTACAATAGTGGCTGAAAGCAAAGATTGACAGCTAGTTTCGAGTCAATGTTGTTCATGAAATTGCAAAATCTTGAAAAAGAGAAAGTAGAATTATACTAGAATGCTACTGAATAAACAAAGTAAGTGAATATTTCAGATGCTTTAACAAAGCTCATTAACAATTTTGTTTCTTTCTCGTCTAATCCTCAAGCTACTTATAGACAAAAAAATAATTAGATGCTTTAACGAAGCTCATTAACAATGTTGTGTCTTTCTTTTCTAATCCTCAAGCTACTCATAGAAAAAAAAATCAGATACTTTAAAAAATCTCATTAACAAGTTTGTTTCTTTCTCGTCTAATCTTTTTAGTGTCAGAAAATACACTGATAATACAATAAAAAGAACCATTCAAAATCAAAGCACACAAACTGGGTACTGAAATTAAAGACACTAATGGTAAAAATATTCAACTAATTCATCACCCGATAGAAAAAATAATTTCAATGTCAACCTTACCAAATTTTCTTGGCAGCCCTAGCAATTATGCAACCCTAACAGAGAAAATCCTTAAATAAACTCTCATCAATCTTCTCTTTGACCCTCTATTCCCAGCCTTACCTACAAAACTATCATTTTCAGTCCTAACAAAATAACATTAAGTATCTATAAGAGCCAAATCACATAATATTCAATCATCAGAAAGAAAGATGAAAGATTATACCAAAAAAAGAAGAAGAGGGAGATGAATCTGAAGGAATAAACTTACTGTAGATCTACATAGCTAGATGAAATGTTTTTCTCCAAAAAATGCCTTCAAACATCAAGATTTAGGAAATTTTTCTGCCAATAATGCCTTCAACTTTCAAGATTTAGGGACTTCAAAGCTTGTTTCATAGAGCAAGAGAGAAAAAATAAGGATACATCAGCGATTTTTGCATATTGCTGGAGAGAGAAAGAAAAATCTACTACTTTTATTAATGGATTTTGGGGTTTTAGGTTATTACTATAGAGAGAGAATTTTTTTAGAGCCTTTTAGTTTTTCACTTTTTGTTCCCGCTCTTCTCTTGTAGTTTCCGCTGAAATTTTTTACTTAGGGACCAGTCATTTTTATTTTTAGAAAATAATATAGTCAAATATGGACTAGTAAATAATATCATCCTTATAAGTATATTTTAGGGACCATATTTATAACTTGTCACTATATTTTGGTCTTTAATGAGCCTTTTTGTTGTAGTGTACACCTATAATTCATGCATTAAAAACAAGCATTAGAAGAAAGAGTAAAAATATATTACTATTAAAAACTTAATCTTCATTCCGAAAGTTAAATTTTGAGGAAACTTGCTATTTAAAATCAAAACCCTAAGCTAAGAACACTATTAAAATTCTAAGAGTTTTAAGATTTGAATAATAAAATGAAATAAAATCAAAGATGTAAAATATTTCCATCAAAATGGTTGTGCATTAATATAAAATAGAATTTGGGATCAAAATGTGAATTTCCAGTTCTACCCCCGTGCGCCTGACATTTGCACTTCGTGTTCGCAAGATTTAACCCACGTGATCGCGATAGGTCATTTTCCAGCTAACCACAATTGTGACCCTTGACCATGCAATCGTGAGGCTTCAAATTTTGGTTGACCATGATCATGATTTGGTTACCACGTGGTCCGATGAATAAGTTCCTGCCAATTCAATTTTCAGCTGTTTGTCCTCTTTTTGCCTCAATTTCACTTAGTTTCTTCAAATATCTTCTAAACCCACTCTTCACTTCATTTTCCTGTAAATATGAAGAAAACCACATTAAAAGCACCGATTCTCATTTACATAAGCCAAAAATATAAGCTTAAAGACAAGATAAGTTGGTAAAAATACCCACTTATCAATTTCCGGTCATTCCCATTTTGACTCAATTTTGGGTCTGTCTCCAACTATTGTGTTTTGGTGTCAAAATATTTGTATTGATGTTTTGATTCACTTTTTACTAGCATGGCAACATTCAAAGACCGTTCGGAAGAAAAAAGCTTCGAAATTATGATTTTATAGTGCACACGATCTACTTTGAGGTAGGCCATGGCATTTGTCTTTAGATTGAGCTTCAAAATGTAAATTTATGTCGATTAGCTAGAATTTGGGTAGGGTTGCTATTTCACCAAGTTTAGTTTGTAAGAAATCTTATTTATGTTTTACTTTGAGTTTTTTGAGACTGTTAGCATGTTGTTTCCTTGCTTATGATAATCCTTACCTTGTGACTTGTGTTTGTAACACCTCAGATCTCAAAATGAAGAAAATTCTAATTTTCAGAAAATTGGTGTCAGTAGCAACAGAACCACCCAAGGACCGTAGGTAGAAGCATGGACCATAGGTGGGGTTCCGTCGCTAAGGTTCAAATTTTGATGGTATCTGATTCCACCCACGATCGACCAGAACGATCCATGGTTGGACCTAGTTTGACCGTATGTGAGGGTCAGCCGCCAATTGGAGGGAAATGACTGTTGGGTCAACTTCAAGCGGTCATATATTTTAGCACAAAATGAATTAGGTGACCCATGACCGATCAAATTAATTATAATTGAATCCTCTTTCCAATGCCACGAGTTTGCAAAAATCCAAGATTAGAGTAAAATGTTATGCTTGTTTTAGTGAAGCCCTGTCGGGCAGAGCATGAACGGTGACTTCAAATGATGGTTAGTAGTTCAAACGATGGACCGTCGGTCCTATAGTAGATGGCACACGTCAGTTTTAAGTCATGGTCATTTTGGTTTTTTCCCCTATGCATTAGGCACTTAAACTACATCGTTTCATGCCTAAACTACGTCGTTTTACTCAATCTTAACTTAATAATCTAGTCAGAAACTACCCAGAACCTTTATTCTCCAAAAATCACCCGAATTAGAGCAAAAAGAAGAGGAAAGTCGACCAGCCCTGTCAAGAACACACAAGAGGTTTTCTTCAAGTTCAGCCCCAAAATCCAAAGGATTTCTTTGTAGTTTTCTTCACCAGGTATGTGAAATTTCACTAGTGGGTTCCTTTTATCCACTAGGTCCCTAGAATTCAGTCAGTCCTTGATTCTCCATATCTTGTTTAGACCTAGGGTTTCAAAAACCTTGGATATTAACTGTGATTTAGTTGTTGTAGCATCCTAAATCGAAATAGCTTATTTCTTGGAAAGTTTGTTTAATTCATTGTATGAAACTCAGAATCCTAGTTTGTATAAATTCTCTTAGTTCATGAATTATACTTGTTAGGTTAGTTAAACAGATAATCTGTCCTATTCTTCTTCCACTGACCATATCCTAGCAACACATTTGAGTTGATATGAGGCTAACTCCACACGCTCTGCGTTAGCAACATGCATGACCTCAAACACTTTTTGAAGCTCTTTCACAAAGTTCTCCAAATCCTAAATGATATCGGCCGTGTGAACTCTGGGGATTCATCCTAAAAATCTCACAAATTCTAGATATATCAGCCACATCCTGACGACCCACTCCTTGTTGACCAGCCTTATTTGCCGCAACTTGAGTCAACATCTAAATAGCATTCCTGAACTCAACATT